TTTGAAAAGTAACGTTATTAATCGAATGGGTTTGAAGGACAGAATGTTTAATCATTTGAATTATTATTGGAATATATTTAATAAGAGAAATTATTTCTATTGGCGAATAATTAATAATATTATATTGAAACTTGAGTTATCTAATTTAATTTCCTTATCAAACAACTTAAAGACTCAAATTATTATCAGAATTATTACATCATTCAAGTTAGTCAATCGACCACATTATTAGAACAATGACTCAAATTATCATTCAAATTATTTCAATATTCAAATTACTCAATCGATCAATTACAATAAATTACTTTGTGTATCCAATAAATTTATAACCAATAATTATCAACATTATTACAGTATATGAACCCACCGCCTTTATCACACAAGTTGTTTATCATCAAAATCAGTATATCATTCAAATACGAAAATTACCATTAACATATCTTTTATCTTTTAACCCTTTGACGACGACGATTTAACCCTTTAACTACGATGATTTGACCCTTTAAGGATGGTGATTTAACCCTTTAACTACGATGATTTAACCCTTTGACGACGATGATTTAACCCTTTAACTATGATGATTTAACCCTTTAAGGTTGGTGATTTAACCCTTTAACAACGATGATTTAACCCTTTGACGACGATGATTTAACCCTTTAACTATGATGATTTAACCCTTTAAGGATGGTGATTTAACCCTTTAACAACGATGATTTAACCCTTTGACGACGACGACTTAACCCTTTAACTACGATGATTTAACCCTTTAAGGATGGTGATTTAACCCTTTAACAACGATGATTTTACCCTTTGACGACGACGATTTAACCCTCCAGGATTCAAAAGGTTAAAAAGCCTTACAACTAAAGTTATTATTATAAATATTTATTACTCAATCTGACAATCTCATGCTACAATTTATTCATAATAATTAATTGGTTCCATAATCATGTAGGTTTACTGTTGAGGTTATTATATTATGTGAAGTGACGAGTGTTTATCAAGAGTTAATATGTAAATTTAACTGGTTGGGCTGACACTAAACATTAACAGTTAACATTTAGTGCTGACATTTAGTGTTAATAATAATTAGAGCCGTCATTTCGAGTTACCATTATTAATTAAATATAACAATTATCATTAACATTTAGGATAAAAATATAGTTAGGATTTATAATCGGCATATATATTTAACATTTGAGTTCCTATTTAGTGAAGTCAGTTAAAATCATCTTTAGAATTAACATTTTAAGATACATTTGATATTTAGAGTAGAAGTTTAATATATCACATTAATATAAAATTTTGAGTCTATATTTGTATATAAACTTAAAACTAACAACAAGTTCTAAACTACAAAGTTAAAAACCAGAATTAAACCTAAAGAGATATCAGTAAAAATTAAATAACCAAAACTAACATTTATCGTCACAGACCAACTTAAACCCTGTAGTTAAAATGCAAAAGGTTCAGAATTAGTTATTTGGAATTAACACTGAAAGAGTCTACCTGGCCTTTTGCACTTACGAGCGAGGAGTCAACGTGTTAAAAATTTCAGAATTAGCCATTTCCAACTAACATTTGAGTGACGGGACCCAAATTAGAGCTGTCAGTAAAGATTTGTGGCATATTTTACCATTTACACACACACACACACACACACACACACACACACACACACACACACAAACAGACACACACACACACACACACACACACACACACACACACACACACACACACACACACACACACACCTATAGACACAAGACAGATACAGACAAACAGACACACACACACACACACACACACACACACACACACACACACACACACCTAGACACAAAGACAGATACAAATAAACAGAACACACACACACACACACACACACACACACACACACACACACACACCTAGAACAAAGACAGATACAGATAACAACACACACACACACACACACACACACACACACACACACACCCTGACACAAAGACAGATACAGACAGACAGACAGACACACACACACACACACACACACACACACACACACACACACACACTCACACACACACACACAGATTACATCACCTAGGCAACCACACGAAGGGTTGTGTCATTGGCAGTTCCCCCTAGCTCACAGATGGCAGCAGAACCCCTTTAATAAACTTAACTCTCTGCTATGGGATTAAAGACTAACTGAGGAGGAGGAGGGAGGGGGGATGGGAGGGAGCAGGAGGGGGAGAGGAGGGAGGGAAGGGAGGAGGGAGTTAGGGGGAGAGAAGGGAGGGAGGGAGGGAGGAGGAGGGAGGGAGGGAGGGAGGAGGAGGAGGGAGGGAGGAGTTAGAGAGGAAGGAGGAGGGAGGGAGTTAGGAGAGGGAAGGAGTGAGGGAGGAGGGAGGGAGGGAGTTAGAGAGGGAAGGAGGGAGGGAGGGAGGAGGAAGGGAGTTAGAGAGGGAGGGAGGAAGGGAGTTAGAGAGGGAGAGAGGAAGGAAGGGAGGGAGGGGGGAGGGTAGGATGTCCTAACTATATCACTGTTTCACCCCTCTACTCTAGTTCATGTGAAAGAAAGAAAGAAAGAATCATGTGTACATACCATTCACCAGTACCCTAAACATGTGGTGAGTCCATTTTGCTGCACTGGATGGGTTAGGTATGATGGTTCAAATGTTGCCTGTCCAACACTGTCCTACTCTACCATGCCCTGCTGCACCATGCCCTACCCTACCGTATCCTGCCATACCCTGCCCTATTCTGCACTGCCCTATCCAGCTCTGCCCTTCCCTGTCCTGCTAACACCTATACTGATAGAGAAAGCTCCATTAGGCAGACGACTGTTGGCCAATTTAACTTGAAGAAGCTCGAAATATCTCGCCTTAAACTATCCCAACTAAAACATAAATCTCTCCAGACAAAATCTCACTGGATAATTACAAGACAAAATCTTGCGAGACATATTCTCGTCGGATATTGTTACAATGTCTCAGGACAAAATTCCAACCAGAAAAAAATCATGTTGGACAAAAATTCATCGGGCAAAATCTCACAGGACTAAATCTCTACAGACAAAACATTAATGGACAAAATTTATACGGACAAAATCTCACAAAATAAAATATCACCGGGCGAAATTTCTTTGGAAATATCTCTCAGGCAATACCTCACCAGATAAAGTCTCCCCGGACAAAATTCGGCCAAAAATATTCTATCGGGCAAAAGCCACCAGACAGTATTCTGAATAAAATTAAAATACACTACAATATTATTAATTTATTATTTAAAAATATACTTTCTTATACAACAACAGTATTAAAAATTGCTCCAATAATACCATCGTAAATATTTCAACAAGACATAATCTTTAGTTTTCTCCAACAATATTAATCCCAATAAATGAATGAAAGGAACAGTGAGGTGGCCAAGGTAAAATAGTTATTGACATTAGGTTTATAAATGTCAATGAACAATCATATAAATACTGTACATACTTTCCAGAATTCTCCCCAACTTGGCAAAATAAGTTAATTTCGAAAAGTGGTATGAAATAATCAGCTTTCATTCTCAACTATCAGTAAGTAATAACATAAACGTACACTTTTCGTATTTCCCTCTCAAAAACAAAATATTTCGAAAATTTGTATAAAATAACCATTATGGCTCTCGGTCCGATGGTTCATTTGTCCCAGTCAAAACTAATCAAAATAATTTGGACATGGGGTCGCATTATCAGTTAACTGCTCCACTAATGGTAGCTGCCACTGTCCCCTCGTTATAGCGCTGAACCATAATTAACGAAGAGCCAACACCAACATGGAAAAGCGCCATTAATGCTGCAACCAACGTGGCGCTGATGAATGCTGCAGCACTATTTTTTGTCTTTTACTGAAGTCGGATTTAGCCTGCACTTGTGGACAGATTCAGAGCTTCGAAGTCGTTTTCTTTTTTGGTAAATTCTGAGATTAATTTCCTGGATTTTGTTTAGTCAGATTTGGAGCTTCGTTGCCTGTGAAGATGGTTCTACCCCTCTACTTGCGTTTAACTTGCTTTAATTGCATTTAATTAATTAAATATATTTGAAAGAATTCGGATCTTCGTAGCTACATATTGAACCATTTCTATGTTAGTTTAAACGTTTAATTATCATGCAAATTTAGTAAGGCTAAAAGCCTCCGTGTCAATCACGATCAGGGAAGCTGCCAATTTATAACTATAGGGAAAGATTTAATGCTTCGAATCCATGTATGATTAATAGTATGGTATACTTCTTAGTTTTTCTTCTTTAGATACACCGAGAGATATTGTGAGTTTCGAATTCACTCATTATGTATTTGTTAACAGGATTCTTCCCTTTATGTTCACTTTCAACTCAATAAGATCTGAACTTCAAAGACAAAAGATGACGCAGATGGAATTTGAGTATACATGATTTAAGGATACATGATTTGAGTATACATGTAATTAAGAAGGATTCAAACCTTCAATTATGCTTATCAAGTAATTTTTTTTTAGGGAGTTTAAACCAAATTCCAACTAGAAACTTCCAGGAATCTCTTGAGAGCAGAATAGAGTAAGCATAAATGTTCCCAATTTATCGAGGCAAAGACTTAACACTACTTTAATATAGGTTGCTGATAAATACTGAAAATTTGAGGCATTAAAGGTTCAGATTTGGACAGACTGTAAGTATGATATAGAGGAATGCTGATGTTACTCTGGCATAGGTCAATGCATGGAAAAATGTTGATCACTAAAACAATGACTGACTGGAAGATCTGAGTCGGTTATTCTTCTTAATTTGTATGGTTAATTTTTTATATATAATGTATAGTAATATAATCAATCTATGCAACTCAATATATTATAGGTTTAACTTTATGAAGCTACACACACACACGCACACACACACACACACACACACACACACACACACACACACACACACTCACACGTTTAAAGGAAACAGTTTAGAGATATATTCCTGTATTTTCTCTCTTTCCAGACAATTTGGCAGATCACTAGAGGTAAGACCACCAATTGGAATCCCTTGACTCCTCTCTCCACTGTTATCGGTTCTCTCCAGTTATCGGTTCTCTCAAGTTATCGGTTCTCTCAAGTTATCGGTTCTCTCAAGTTATCGGTTCACTCACAGTTATCATTTCACTCTAGACATTGGTTCTCTTTAGTTATCGGCTCTCTCCATTTATAGGTTCTCTCTAATTATCAGTTCTCTCTAATTATCGGTTCTCTTCACTGCCCTAATGCTCCACTCTTTTACGAACACTTTCATAATATTATTCAAATGAGGACAAAAAATCATTCACCATTTCTGAAGACACACGGGTGAGTATATTGTTTTGGTCTCTATATCACAAGAAATATACTTCAAAAGATAATAAAGCAAATCGCCAAATTATAATATTTTTTATGGTTTGTGAGGCAATTTGACGAGTTTTTCCACTTTAGTTTATTACATACTTTTTAAAATATATTTCAAGGTAATATTTATCTATCATGATCTTCACGCTTCACAATATCAATGGATGTTTTTACACTCCTGTGTCTAAAATGTATATTGTGTGTTTTGGTATTATACTGTACTGTATATACCCTGTAGAGTATATATTTTTAAATGTGAATCATATTTATTTCTTTTGGGATTAAACCAACTTTCAAAGATTCTCGAGAAGTTGTGTGTAACCTACATTGTCTAATTTAAAACAGAATTGTAATTTACTTCAACATTTCCATAATTCACCTACTATTATCGTCGCCAAAATGACTTACAAAGGTAACATTCTTACCAATCTAATATGTATATATCTGAATTTGATTATTTCAATTCGTAAATAATAAAATAGCTTAACATATTTTTATATTCTACTTTTTCCATTAAAACAACAATAACGCAAAAATTCCTTCTATCCGGAAAAGGGATTTAAAAACAGTTTAGGTTGTCTAGTTTACAATGTCAACAAAATTTGACTCTTATCTTCCAAAATCCAATCAATTTTTTAATGCCGGTCCCCCACGTACTCCAAATTACTGTTTGGCTGGTGATGTCCTGTTAAAAAATTTCCTCCACACCAAAATTAAACTGTCAGGCCATCGATTTTTCAGCGTTCATTGATGGTTCCGCTTCTGTTATTGAATAGTCGTTGAAATTTAATTAATCTTAATGAATCCAGTGACGGAAAGTGTACCATTAGCCAGGGTTTTTATGCCTATTCATATTCTCATTGGTTTTCGGTCAGTGGTGACATTTCAGGGAGTCTTAAGTGCTTAGATGCAACCACACACACACACACACACACACACACACACACACACACACACACACACACACACACACACACACACACACACACACACACACACACACATACATCAGGATGAGTTTGTTGCGTCTTGAGGAAGTACTTAAAGACAAACGCACTCCTCTGTCGTACACACGCAACACCGATTTTTTTTTTCAAGAGCAACGGAAGTTGTTTCTTGACCTCATCAATAGAGAGAGAGAGAGAGAGAGAGAGAGAGAGAGAGAGGCAATTATCATTCTATATACAAAAATCATATTCCAAAAAAAGAAAAAAATATATTAACTTCTAATTAAGAGAAAGTTTAGGTTTCATGATTTTATTACAGATTAAAAGTTAAATTTGACGATGAGAGGAACTATTGGTGTGTTTTTCCCCGAAACATTTGAGGAACAATTTGCATAATGAAGGTAAAGTTGGGTCATTAAATGCGATGTTGGACATTGATTGGATATTGTCTTTCATTTGTGTATTCGGTTATGAGAGAGAGAGAGAGAGCGAGAGAGAGAGAGCGAGAGAGAGAGAGAGAGAGAGAGAGAGAGAGAGAGATTACCCTAAAATTCTAAGACAAAAAAAAAATACTCAATACTCTTCCATCTTTAAGAACGTTTACAAAAATCTGTTTAAATTAAGAAAATCGAGATAAAGTTAAGAAACAAAAAAAAAGATTAGCAAAGTTAATGAGAATACTTAACATGTCGACAAAAAATAAATTTAGATTTTCTTGACTAAAGTTGGGTCTAAAAATGAGTACAAAATAAATATGAGTGAATAATAAAAAGTTATGAATATTAAATGAATAACAAAAGTTAATTAATGAGCTATGAATAAGTATAGTTAAGAAATACTCGTGAATAACAAACAATATTAAGTAATAATTAGTGAATAAAATGGAATAAATAATCATGGAATGGGCATGAAATAATTATGAGTAATAAGTAAAAAAAAGTAATTAACAGTATAAATAATAAGTAATAGTGAATGAAAAACATAAATAAAATGAAATAAGGTTTCATAAGTAACAATACGTAATAATGATAATAAGCAATATGTGATAATTATGTATATTTCATTATCTCCTACTTCTTCTTCTTCCTTCCACCTCTCTTTCCTCTTCCTCCTTCCTTACATCACTCTTCTTGACCAACACTTGCTATTTTATTTTGCTATTTTCTGTATTAATATATTTCATCTTTTTTCAATATATTTTCTAAAGTTATTAAATTAGGGTAAGATGCATTTATTATTTTTGTTTTGCATTTTATATTATTAAATCAATTACTTTTATATGGAGGATAATATCTATCTATCAATCTATCTATCTATCTATCTGTCTATCTCTCACATCATTTGCCTGACGAGGAGGATAATTTTAATATGTATGTATGTATGTATGTATGTATGTATGTATGTATGTATGTATGTATGTATACTTAAGTTTTCCCTATTCATCATCGTCGTCCTAATATTCCTGGGTTTATTTCAGCCCTTTCTTAGCTTCTGTCCGAGACTTTAAAAAATCATGAGAGTGTAGTGAGCTATGTCAAGTGCTTAATTATTTTGTCGGTTCCTGGAAGTTTATGTGAGGGGTGTGGGGCGTGGGTTAATTGTGGTGTGTGTGTGTGTGTGTGTGTGTGTGTGTCAGGGTATTTATGTATGAGAGTTTGTTTATATGTGTCCATCTTTAGGATATGTGTTCTTGTATATACGATTTATTGTCTGTATATTTACGACGTACGATAGTTTGGACAAGAGTTTGGACGCCGGGTGATAGGCAGTCCAGTGAGATCTTGGGCTCAGTTCTCCCCTCCCCTCTAACACATTGATCAGCGCTGGCGGGAGTACGACAAAGTTTAAACTCTCCCCTCCTCCTTCCCACTTAAATAGACCCATCCATTATAGTCACTCCATTAAAACTATCCTGTGCGAACCCATCCATTAACAGGTTAAGTTTAATAACCGAGCGACGAAAGCCAAAGAAGACTTGAAACGAATTGGACAAGAGAAAATCAAAACAGACTTAATAGCTGAATTCGCAAGCCACAACTCCACCATAATACCCTAGTAAAATCATCCCACACACCTAGATCAACATTAGTTCTCCCTAGACAACTCACCCACCAACATCCTAGAACAACAACAACAACAACAACAACACCACGAGTAGGATGAACGAGACGCTGCTTCCCCGAGACAAACTTTCCAGACGCTCCAACTCGTTAGCGCTGCCTGTCCTCGCCTGATGGTACCACGATGTAAGATAATTCCTCGTTAATGTCCCCCGAGTGGATCACGTGTTGTTGTATTATGGATCATGTGTTGTATTATGGATCATGTGTTGTACTGCTGAAGATAACTTGATTTTGTGTTAGCGAGAGATATGGAAACACACACACACACACAAACATACACACACAAACATACACACACAAACATACACACACAAACACAGATATATTACTTCTACGCAAACGTACACAAACAGGCACATACAGGAACACATAGAACACGAACAAACAAACAAGTGTTAAGGTGTTGCATAAACAAGAAAAAATCCTCCTCTTCTCCCCTTCATGGTTTATTTTCCTTTCCTTCTTCTCCTCCTTTCTTTTTCTCTCTCTCCCCTACTCCCATCCTCTTTCTCTTTCCCCCTCTCTTTCTTATTTTATTTGTCTCTTCCTGTCCTTTTCTCTCTCACTTTCAAATTTACACTGTCTGTCTGTCTGTCTGTCTGTCTGTCTGTCTGTCTGTCTGTCTGTCTGTCTGTCTGTCTGTTTCTTCCTATCTATTTTATATCTTTCTCAGACGTAATTGGAAAAGACCCGAATCTCTCTCTCTTTCTCTCTCTCCCTCTCTCTCAATTTCTTTCGTTTTTCTAGTAAAGTCGTCACGGACATTCTTATCAAAACACTAGAGAGAGAGAGAGAGAGAGAGAGAGAGAGAGAGAGAGAGAGAGAGAGAATTTCACACATCTCTCGTACAATTCACACCCGCTAGACAAGAGGGGAGGTTTACGTGCTTAACTGAGCATTATAAATGAAGCACATAAGTTGGACAGTTTGAACAGGCTAATAGATGATGGTATCCCTCGGAGGCATCATATTATCGGCGTTAGAACATCATAAAATAGTTTGATAAGATGCATGTGAGCCTTATTGGAATATTGGTACAGATGTAACGATTTAGGAGCTTTATAATACAGATGTGAGATTCAGTGTTGAGTCTTATTAGATTAAGCTTTAACTGTTGGTGTAGTTATAATGCTTTGTGTAGACGGTGTTATGAGTGTTATAGAAGAATTTGAAAGCATCACATAAATTTTAGTGAAAAAAGTAAAGTATCAGCTGAGCATCAAACAATATTTTGAGAGTATCATGAGAAAATATATAACATTTGGAAAACAATATTATAAGCATTGTAGGATCCTTTGAGAGCATTATAAGAATGTAGTTGTACAATCTTGAGAGCATCATATAATAGAGAATATTTTGAAACTATGTTAACGGCACTATGAAAATTTATTGAGCATTATACGAGCATTATTATCAAGTCACTAAACAAACCGACTACGGGTGTTGAAGCATGATGCGAGCATTAATATTATTCACTGACGAGACCTGACTCAACCAGACAACTGAGGTATTATAGTAATTTTATGTAGACAGAGTTCTGAGCATTATGAAGCATACTGAGAAATTCATGTGAGC